CATATGCAGTGCGGCATATCGCATGTGATTCACACTGGAACCGCACTGCATTCCTGTGCAAATTCTGTGCGATTTGAGCCATACATTTTGTATGGCTCAAATCACACCACATCTGCACCAAAAAGGTGCAGGACAGTTTTTTTTTTTTGGTCCGCACTAGAATCCGGGGTATTCACACCTATGCGATCAGATTCTGCACATCGCACCGCACCTGTCTTGCGAACCAATATTGGGGTGTTGTTAACTTAACATACACACCCGCAGTGGTTCACATGAACGGGGTGTGATTGGGCACAAAAACTGCTGTGAATTCTGCACCGCATCAGTGTGAACCCAGGCTAAAAATGCAGCCTGACCAATGTTTTTCAGGGCACACCAATGCAGTGCAAGGATGAGAAAATTGCCATTTAAATTGCTGCCATCTCCACTGCTTCCTATCATGCTGCATACAAGGAAACACAAAGTGCCCACCGGCATTGTCCGATGAGGAGGACATCATCTCCTCCCACCAGCCTAGTCATTGTCCGAGGAGGAGGACATCATCTCCTCCCACCAGCCTAGTCATTGTCCGAGGAGGAGGACATCATCTCCTCTCACCAGCCTAGTCATTGTCCGAGGAGGAGGACATCATCTCCTCCCACCAGCCTAGTCATTGTCCGAGGAGGAGGACATCATCTCCTCCCACCAGCCTAGGCATTGTCGGAGGAGGAGGACATAATCTCCTCCCACCAGCCTAGGCATTGTCGGAGGAGGAGGACATAATCTCCTCCCACCAGCCTAGTCATTGTCCGAGGAGGAGGACATAATCTCCTCCCACCAGCCTAGTCATTGTCCGAGGAGGAGGACATAATCTCCTCCCACCAGCCTAGTCATTGTCCGAGGAGGAGGACATAATCTCCTCCCACCAGCCTAGTCATTGTCCGAGGAGGAGGACATCATCTCCTCCCACCAGCCTAGTCATTGTCCGAGGAGGAGGACATAATCTCCTCCCACCAGCCTAGTCATTGTCCGAGGAGGAGGACATCATCTCCTCCCACCAGCCTAGTCATTGTCCGAGGAGGAGGACATCATCCCCTCCCACCAGCCTAGTCTCTGTGGGGAAGGGGGGGGGGGCGTGGTGTCCTCCCACCAGCCTAGCCATTGTCCGAGGAGGAGGACATCATCTCCTCCCACCAGCCTAGTCATTGTCCGAGGAGGAGGACATCATCTCCTCCCACCAGCCTAGTCTCTGGGGAAGGGGGGCGTGGTGTCCTCCCACCAGTCTAGTCTCTGGGGAAGGGGGGCGTGGTGTCCTCCCACCAGTCTAGGCTCTGTCGGGAGGGGGGCGTGGTGTCCTCCCACCAGCCTAGGCTCTGTTGGGAGGGGGGGGGGGCGTAGTGTCCTCCCACCAGCCTAGGCTCTGTCGGGAGGGGGGGGGGCGTGGTGTCCTCCCACCAGCCTAGGCTCTGTCGGGGGGGGGGGGCGTGGTGTCCTCCCACCAGCCTAGGCTCTGTCGGGAGGGGTGTGGTGTCCTCCCTCCAGCCTAGGCTCTGTGGGGGGGGGGGGGTGCGTCTCCTCCCTCCAGCCTAGGCTCTGTCGGGAGGGGGGGGGCGTGGTGTCTTCCCTCCAGCCTAGGCTCTGGCGGCAGGGGGCGTCGTCTCTGACCACTAGCTGCACATCACACATGGGGGCTGTGGTTTTATAGTCACATGACCATATAGAAAATGAAAAAAGGTATTAACATTGTGATTTGTGCTTCATTGTATGCAGTGCAGTGGAGGAAGGTGGGGGGACAGCTGCATTTAAAAGGTAGAAGGTATAGTGCCGAAACTCCTACTTTTACGGGTTCAGTATTTATTCGGTAATTATATTAGCTGCGAATGTGTTAGTTTACGCCACTTATATATAATTGCCTCACTTTTCTAGGTTTCATTATTCTTCACCTTGTGTCTTCCTCACTTTACAAGCTTATTAAAAAAAAGATCAGTGATTGCTATAGGAGATCTGTGCATTCCCTATAATTACAGAACAGATTGTCAGCTGGAATCACCCCAACATGATTGAAGCTCTTCGTCATGCTCAGGAACAAAGCAATGCATGCAGGGATGTGCAGGAACAAAGCAATGCATGCAGGGATGTGCAAAGAGCCCTGTCACCTGGCAGCTGCATCGGGGAACATTTCATGTGTCTGACCTCCATAAGGCTTTTTAAATGGAATCATCTACGGAACAATCAGTACAAGTGATGCATGTATGATATTTTTGCAAATTGGCATCCTTACACCTGCTATGTTTTAAAGCAGAACTCCAGTCAAATGTAAAATACACAAATGAACTTAATAATTAACGTAGTATTGTTAGGTTAACACACAAATTTTTTTTTTTTTTTTAAGTTTTACCCCAGCACTTGCAGTTTACAACTTTCGATGTTGCTGGCTTGTTCTCCCAGTGTTGCTTTCCTGAACGTTTTGTTCTTACAGGAAAGTGTTAACAGTGGACCCTGCAGTCTGCAGTCAGTCTGTTCATTTGAAGGATGGAGGATCCTAGGCTATAGGGCTGTGTGTATCTATTGATGCTTACAGTGTAGGGAGCTCTAGTCCCTGCATGCAAATTTGGTTCCATAGGCTGATGCCAGAAAAAGGAACCACCCTAAAACAAGAAACTGGCCAGTGATCATGGCACCAGCTTAAACTGGAACATTGGCAAGAATCAAAAGATACAAAAGCTGCATACTAACCAAGTGATCAAATCACCTGCTGAAAGTGCTTTAAAATCTGGTTTAATGTCACTTATATATCACAATATATCTTTAAATGCAGGCAGTGTAAGCACCCAAATTTTACCCAGCAATATTGTATTCTACTGTTTAGCAGACTTCAGGGAGTGGTAGGTAGAAGCAGCACAAGGAGCCTGTCAGGTGTATTGCAGTGCAACGATCATGCTGATAGGAGGAGAGAGCAAAGTGACATATGCTACATTTCCTTTCACTTTCCAATCACAGAGTGAGGGTGGGGAGAGGACCTGTAAGTGAAAGTAAAACTGTAAAAAAGGAAGATCAAGTTCCCTTCTGTTGTGGAACAGAACTGTTAGTCCCAGAAGTGGAGATCTAAAAATACAAATCTCCTTCCCCACAATATCTTGTGCTTGGACCTGGAAATGGGCTGCTTAGGCGTAGAGCAGTGCAGTATGGGAGGATAAGAAGGTCATATGCACTGTCAAGTTTAGAAGTATTGCACACACCCTTTCGTCATATTTTCAGGAAGGTGTCTTGTTACCTTTTCAAGAGCGTACAGCCTAGGGTTCACCTCCCGAATTCAAGGGTTTTTTTATTACTTGCAGCTTAAACATGCCGTGACTGCCCAGGGCCTCTGGTTGGACTGGCACCTGTTCCCTACCCCTATTTTCCGTTTCATTTAAAATTCCTCCACAATACAAATTTCTGGTATCCCAGTTTTAAATGATGCTCCTTTCAACTTACCTGGGGAGTTTCTATTGCAAGGCCTCAGAATTGGGAGAGAGATGTAGGTACCTTTTTTGAGGAAGATCAATGGGTAAGTGTCCTGGAATCTGTGCACCTTAGTTCTATAAATGCATCCCAGAGACTTTCACAACTACATTATCCTGCAGGCCCACTATACTCCAAGTAAACTACATGGGTTTGCTATGGGTTTGTCAGACTCTCAATTTGTTGCAAATGTCATCATGATTGGGGCACTCTTATCCACATGCTTTGGCGCTTCCCGAAATTACACAGGTACTGGGCCAAAGTGGTGGACACTGTAACTGTGGTATTTGTTACCTTGCCTTTAGATCCTAAAAATATGCCTACTAGGTATCTTAGATGACCCTCAGCTGACAGACCACTCTTGGGTAGCCATTAATAGGGCTTTGTTCCAAGCTAGGAACCTCATCTGGAAGGCAAAACAGCTGCTGACCCACGGAGAATGGGTGGAACGAATGGGGCATACCCTGCACCTAGAGAAACCTGTCTTTCAACACCAGGGATGCCCAGGAAAGTTTTTGGAAAGCTGTGGGATGTTTGGTTAGCCACACTGGGTCTATCCCTCATTGACTTGGTGCTAGATAGGGTTTTATAGTTACTCTTCTATTGGGGTCTGCCCTCCTTTTGCTTTCCTTGGATTGATGTACTCCCCTCATGGTAGTATGAAATGTTACACAGTCTTAGCCATTCCAGTGTGTCAATACGTTATATTTATTTATTTCAGGTGCTCATATACCGCCGTCAATTTACGCAACGTTTATATGTATATATTACTGTACATTCACATCAGTCCCTAACCCTCAAGGGGCGTACAATCTAAGGTCTCTAACTCACATTCATACATACACATACTAGGGCCAATTAACCTACCAGCATGTTTTTGGAGTGTGGGAGGAATCTGGAGTACCTGGAGGAAACCCGCACAGGGAGAACATGCAAACTCCAGGCAGGTGATGCCATGGTTGGGATTCAAACCAACGACCCTAGTACTGCCAGGCAGAAGTGCTAACCATTTAGCCACTGCGCTGCCCATGCCAGTTGTTTGATTTCTGAGCTACTTCCATGTACATGTGTGTACCTACTGTATTTTTTTTTTGTTCTTTTTATTTGTTGTTTATGATTTCTGGATGACTTCTTGTTTCTTTTATTAAAATCTATTTTTGATTAAAAAAAAAAAGAAAAGAAATATTGGGTATATACAAGGGCTCTGGCTGGTGAATGGTTGACTGTAGGGACATGGGGAAGGCAAGTATTAGTAGTAAAGGGGGTGGGCTATGGGGAGAACCTGTTACTTTGCCCTGTATGGCATGTCAGGATTACTTTAATTGGTTGGGCGAGTGCAGGCTCAGCATTATCAGCTGGTTTGCTGCAAGTGAACTCTGAGATTGTAGCTTGTGTTTTCATGAAACTGGAGAGTTGGAGTATTGAGAATCTCCATAAAGGGAGTTACCAGATTCACAGATGGTGTTGTATAGAGTGCTGCTCTTGTTGACCATGGCATCTTTACTTTGTCTCCATAGGTGGACCTCATAGACATCTGTGAGTCGATCCTGGAAAGGAAGAGACATGACAGTGAACGATCCTCCTGCAGCACCCTGGAGCAGAATGACTTTGAGGCAGTGGAAGCTCTAGTGTGTATGAGCTCCTGGGGTCAGCGAAGTCACAAAGGAGAAGCGCTGAAAATGAGGCCACTGACTCCAGCTTCTGATTCCTCTGATTGCCTAATGCAGTACGAGTCCTCCCGATCCATAATGAACGATTTCCACTCACTCTCCACCCTGGTAAGAATGAACATATAATTACCACCAGTGTTGAAGAACATACTCTTCAATTCTAAGCAGTAGTGACACCAGTCATAAACACATCTACATGACATTCAGGGTTCCCCTACTGACAGCTGAAGTGCCAACAAAACCAGGGGCAGCTGCCGCTGGAGGAGCCGAATCTTCACCTGTGGAGTCTGCCAAGCATGGAGGGAGAAACAGCCTGGATGTACCACCGCAGGAGGGTGTGGGTATGAAGGAACGTTTTGGAACTGCTATGCTTCCTTCATCAGCCTTGCTCAGTCCAACAGGTGAAGATTTGGCTCCCCCAGACACACAGACGGCCAGGGCTGTCATTGGGGGGGGGGATAGCCCTTATGCACGAAGGGGACCCGAGGGTCCAGGCAGTATTGCCAACCATCAGTAAATTCCTAGCTAAAAAAAAGCGGCATCTGTAAAATGGTAACAAACTTTGGTACTCAAAATTTTCCATAGACGACATTCTCAAAAGCCCTTCGGGTCATCCATTTTAGAGTTAAAGTGTAATTTCAGTCAAATCCCCTAACTCAGCTAATATCTACTCCCATCCCCATCCTATGCCTAGTCTATCTACCCTGTAAAAGGAAAGATGTCTATACTTACCTATTCTGAAGTCGCTCCGGTCACATGATCTCTCCAGCAGCCGGTTTCAGAGCAGAGTAGAGAGCAGCGACAACGGCTACAGAGCCTGGGTAATGACGTCACCCATAGACTTGCTATGGGGCATCCATTGTCGGCTGTCCCTCTATATTGAAGCCGGTGCTGATACCTGATCATGTGACTGGACTGGAACGACTTTGGAATAGGTAAGTATACAGATCTTTCCTTTTACAAGGTAAATAGAATAGGCTTAACTTGAGGGTGGGAGCCGATTTTAGCTTAGGTTTTGACTGGAATTACACATGAATTATGGGGTGTAGGGAGGGGTGAATGTACCGGGGGTGTGGAAGTGATGGAGTGGCTGGATTGCTTCCACCTGACAGCTGATAGTCTTGTCAGAATTACAAACATTATGTAAAATCCCCTACTTTTATCTACTTATGACATATGTTGGTGCCAGCAAAATGGTTCATCTATTGCAGGTTATCAGTACTTGGATGTGGTGGCTGCATTTGTTTTTCCTTTTTCAAGAACATTTTCTGCAAATACATAAAAAAATACCAGCTGATAGAAACACATTATTCCTGTAACTTCCCTGTGAACGGCACTGAGATCTCCAACAATGTCATCGGCTTTCTTGGTTCTCTTATGCGAACTACAAAAGCAACATCCCTCTAAGTAATATAGATGAGCAAAGGGAGAGGTGTTTGTAGTCAAAATCAGGAGATCCTCCTTTGGTAGCAATGATATTTCTTCCCCGGATACAGTACAGTGAGTGAGGGTTGTCACCCTGGGACACCCTATTGCTGGCAGGACCACCAGGTGAAAACTAATGCAGCATCCACATCTAAGGGCTGGCAAACTGCAGTATATTAAATCTTTGTTTTTGGCTGCAGGTAAGCTTTAAGTGTGAATTCAGCCTCAGGCTTGGGTAACAAAGTAAAATGATTCTAGATCCAGCAATGCACGTTCTCTCTCTCCCTCCTGATCTGTGCACTGCTACTACATAACCAGATTATTTGTATTGATTCCTGTTGTCCTGCCAGTGAGCACAAGCCAGTTAACTGAGCTGATGTAACTGGCGGTACGACATGTACTTGCTGCCTTCTGTTTCTGTAATTCCTTCTAATATGCTGCAATCCGCTCTTACATTTTGTAGTTAATTAATCAGGCATGAAAACACAGTTCCAGGTCCCACATCTCTGTCCTGGATGTCATTAAAGCTGGCACATGATTGTTTTGTTTAGCTGTCTTCCCTTCTCTATGGCTACCTCCCTGGTGGAAAAGGGCCCGAGAGTCCTGGGTCTCAGCTGATGAGAGTTAGGAGTGAACACTGTTATTTAGAGCAGCATTTGTTGACCTTGTGATGCACAACAGTCTGTTTGGAGCAATGGACTTCAATTGCGTCGACTTAAAAGAAGCCCAACTAACATCTGTTTATCCTTTGCCTACAGCTGGCCATACCTAAGCCCAAGTATTGGGTGGCAAATTCAATAACCTCCAACTCTTGCCAATTTTTGTTAGCTGTGAATAGATGCTGGCTGCAACATCTTTTCTTCTTCTTTTTTTTTTTTTTTTTTTTTTTTTCCATTTTATTTTATGATTTATTTATTACGATCAACTACTATTGCTAAATTTTCCCTTGCTTAATTAGTAACATGGTGCCACCAGAATTTACGGAAAATTACATGTGAATCTACCATGTGAATAGAGATTGCAACAAAAATGTTTTGATCATCACTGGGCTGTTACTGATTTGACTAGACAGTATTTTCCACTGAATGTGAAGGAAGCCGGTTTGCATGCCTTACACCCACTCACTTGGAGATGTAGTCCATTTTTGCTACTTTTAGTCTCAAAGAGTGGTGTTTTGCCAATTAATGGGTGTTCATTAGTGATCGGGAACAAAAATTATTCTTCCATTTAGATAACTGACCTGGTTATGTATACCTCTGAGACTTGGGGGAAAAAAATATACTAGTTACCTACAAAAGACCTCCTACTGAGAGATGTCACTTTGCTATTAAAACACTATGGCCTCTGGCAGAATCTTCAGAAGCTGTTGTCTCTCCTCCTCCCCACAGGTGCTGTTGCTTTTCCCCACCAACAAACTTGTTAGGGTCAACTGTTAAAAAATTCTGCTAGAGGCCACAGTTCTTGGATTGGCCAAAGTAAGGACTTATTGCTTGCCAGTGTAAGTGTTAAAGAGCTTGAAATCACTCACTCACTCACCTTTCTAGTTGCTTGTAATGTAAAGCAATACATCCCCAAAGATCATAGCAAAGACTGCAGTTGTTTTTCTAACAGCTTACAAACTCCAACTGTGTGTTTGTATTCGAGGGCTGGCAGGCTACTAAGATCTGTTTTTCCTACAAAAAAAAAGCAAAGATTGCTGTGTCTCCTATGAAATTTGAAGAACAATTTCTGCACAATGCGTATAGCTAGTGGTGAGAAAGTGATTTTGAAGTGCTTTTATTGCTTGTTCTGAATACGTAAACACTTTAAAGTTATGTTAACTGTTAATTTTTTTTTTTTTTAATAACCTGTCATATGTACCTGCTCTGTGCAGTGGTTTTGCACAGAGCAGCCCTGATCCTTCTCTTCTCGGTCCCCCTCCGGTGCTTCTGGCTCCTCCTTTCTCTGAGTGCTTCCATAGAAAACTTCTTGCTATGAGGAACTCGTGCATGCTAGCTGCCAAGACATTCTCTGTGTGTCTATAAGACACACAGAACGGGGATCAGCCCCACCCCTGCCCCTGTGATAGCAGTGGGAGCCAATGACTCCCTCTGCTGTCTGCCAATGAGAATGCAAAGAACCATGAGAGCAGCTGCTCTTGTGTACATCGCTGGATCTGGCTCGGGTAAGTTTTAGGGGGGCTGCGGAGGGAGGTGCCTGCTGACGGTTTCTTACCTTCATGCATGGAATGTATGAAGGTTAAATACCCTCAACCTTTTTACCAATATAATGTTCATAGTCTGCACACAGGTTCACGGTAGGAGTCTTTATTTGCAGGCATCATTTTTTTTTTTTTTCTTTTTTTCAGGGCACATTAACCTTAGTGGATCAGTCAGCCGCTTTGTATGTTTATTTATTTTTTCTATTGTAAAAGTCTTATTTTAATTAGTTGTGTGCATCATGCTTCATTAACGTTAGCAAAACTGACATTTTTATTAGGCAAACATTTAAAATGCAGAATGACTAAACTCAAGTGGGTTCGGTGCAGACAACTCTTTGCATGGTCATCACATCATTAGAGTTGCGGTTTTTAATTTCATGACACCATTTTTCTTATGCTTGTGTTTTTTTTTGTTTTTTTTTTTTCTTTCCAGTGCATGACTCCTCCACACAGTCCAGAATTTACTGAGCCTTGTACAACACTCCCTCCTGCCTGCCAAGTGACATATTCCAAGCCAGTGACTGTCCTGTCCAGCAGTTCTCCTTGTTCTGTGTCTTCTTCTAATGCGTCCAAGCCTTTTATACCAACAGTCCACAGCTTGTCCTTGCCGAGGTCTGACATGTCAGAGAGGTCACAGCCTTGCAGGGCAATGGTCACAAGTGTCATACGTCACACAGCTGACACATCTGCCTTTCACCACCTCCCCCAGTCCCCACCTAAAGCACCAACAGCTGAAGCCGTATTCTCCCAAAACTGTGATCGCAAACATTCCAAGCTCACCAAAGAGACTCCTGTCCAAGAGGACCTGTCCAGAAGCAACTCCCCTGTGTACCTTCCACAGACTGAAATTCCCTGTGCAAATGCTAACATGGGGAGCCAACAAACGGCAAGTGTACAGACACGGGAGCCAGTGAAATGTGAAAATGAACACTCAAATGAGAACAATCCGTTGGTTTCCGTTGCTGCTTCTAGTTCCCCTGTTCTCTGCCAGATGATTCCAGTAAACGGACAAGCTGGTGTTATCTCAGCTTTTATCAAGCCACCTTCTCAACCCATGTGCAATACCATTAAACCCATTTTGCCCCAGACCACCTCCCTTTCACAGCCAGTCCTTATGGGCACACCAATGTCTCCAGGGACTGTTATGTTTGTCCTTCCTCAAGCATCTGTCACCCAGCCACCTCAGCAGTGTCCACAGACTCTAATGACAGTTGGAAACACAAAGTTATTGCCTCTTGCCCCCGCTCCTGTATTTATTACTTCTGGGCAGACCAGCCCCCCACAAATGGACTTTTCCCGAAGGCGCAATTACGTCTGCAATTTCACTGGGTGTAGGAAGACGTACTTCAAAAGTTCCCACCTCAAAGCACACCTTCGAACCCACACAGGTGAGACCTCAAAATGCATAAGGGTGGGGAAAAAAAATGATAAATATTTTGAAAGCATATTCACAATCTATTCAGTTTTGTTTCATGATAACTTTTTACTCTACTGGTAAATAATAAAAGGTTGGAAGTGATTAGTTTCCTGCAAAATTAAGATAGTAAGTGAAGACCTAAGTTCAGCAGACTATTCGAAGGTCAGTATCCCTGTACATGGCTGCAGTGAAATCAATTTGGTACCCAGAGTTAGAGCAGTGTGGAGCACTGGCATCTCTTGGGTGCTGGGTCTTTAGTCGTCTTGATCCCACTACACAGGCACCATGCTGAAAATGTACCCCGAGATGTACATGCGCAGCTCACAGCTGTGCACAGAATTTTTTTTTATTTGCAGAAGAAACATAACATTACCCTAGGTTACCATCTGTGCAGGTGGTGCCGCTGCATATCCGCACGAAAATCCGTGCAGCCGCACCACCCGCACAGAGAACTACGCACGCTGCCTGCACTGGAAAACGCAACCATACTGGGAACCGAGGTTCCCGTGCGGGCTGCGTTTTCCAAAGAAGTGCAGGGACTTTTTCCCTGTGTGTCACGGGCACGGGAGTCCTTTCAAATGAATGGGCTCTCATGCCTGTGCAAAACGCGGCCCGCATGGCCGCATATATGTGAACCGGGGGTTACAATTAAGGTTTTGCCTGTGTGCAATTTTTTTTTTTTTTTTTGTTTTGTTTTTTTTTCTAAAAGTCAGCTTGCCAGTGATGTTGCTGGTTTCCACTTTTCAAAAACCAAGTTTTGTTCTTTGGAATAGAATTTGTTTTTTTTTTTTTTCCAAATGTATTTTACTGGCAACTGTTAGACTTGTACAGCTTCATTTGTCAAAGTGTCTGAAAGCAGAATCGTGTTTTGTGTTGCCCACAGCTACCAATAGACTGAAAAAGGATAATCTGATCAGTTGCTGTTGACGGCACAGAGTATTCTTGTAGACAGTTTATAAATGTCTTGGGTCACACAGCGCTCACATAACATTGAGCCTCATTTATCAGAGTGCCTTTAAGACCTGTGTTGCCATAGCAGCAAATCAGATTCTCTGCTTTTTTTCTTTTATTTGAGGTTAGCAAATGAAAAGGGGGGTTGGAATGATTACTTTGGGCAACACTGATGGCTGTTTCAAGCACTTTGCAGTGCACCTATGTTAGTAATAGTAGACAATGCTGTGAATGGGGATGGTGAACATATGTAGATGTTGTACTTGGTTCTCTTGCTATGTTGGGTACACAGGCGGAATCCGCTTGCTCAGCAGGGGATCTGTATGCTGATCCCACACTGCCCCACTGTACAGAGTAGAGCGGGCGGATGACATGTCCACATCTGCTCCGTTTATGCAGAGAGGACAAGGATACAGCCTGCTCTGCTCTATGGATGGTCGGATGTAAATGGAGTGGCTATCTGTTTACATCTGACTTCCCTCCAGTCGATCAGATTGAAGATTGGCGGGTGTAAACAGACAAGTCCGTTTACATTTGCCACTTCTTAGAGGAGAATGGAGGGTCTGATCCAGGCTACCTGAAAAACTGACAGGTGGACCCGATCGGACCGATCTTGTGAAAAGGGGCTTATTATACCCTTGGAAGTGTTTCATAAACATTTTAATAAGAAAATAACCTTTTGATCCTTCCAGAAATCTTGTGAGCTTCTAACTTCCTTACTAGTTAGCAGTTCTCTGTGAACTACAGAACACCTCACCCCTCTGTTATTATGTGGAGATGAGTGCTAACATACTTCCTGTCTTAGGGTGACAACATTCTATTTAATTTTCCCTGGAGTTCTGCTTTAATTGTGTGAAGCCTCTATAATACAGGAGGCCAAAGTTAAAGGTGTTTAGGCCTATTACTCCCCAAAATAAACTAAAACCTTAATTAAAAATAAAGAAAATCAAAGCCAGTGCTTACCTTCCTACCTCCTGACATTACATCCTTCTCTCTAAAAACAGGTACGCTTTAGGAAGTCAGCTTGAGAGTAACACATTTCTGAAACACACCACAGCATGGATTATACATTTTTTGTTTTTCTATTGCAGGAGAAAAACCTTTCAGCTGTAACTGGGAGGGATGTGATAAAAAGTTTGCCAGATCAGACGAACTCTCTCGACACCGCAGAACCCACACAGGCGAGAAGAAATTTGCCTGTCCTTTGTGCGACCGACGATTCATGCGCAGCGATCACCTGACCAAGCATGCCCGACGACACATGACCACAAAAAAAGTTCCCTCCTGGCAGGCAGAGGTCGGAAAGCTAAACAGAATAACGACATCCGAGCAGACAAGAAATCCGGGACCATCTTTAAGTATGCTGGTGTCCATGTCTCCCCCAGTATAAGAGTGACTGAACAAATACGTTGAAATGAAATGAAGCCTTTTGATTCATGCACTGAATCACCCAGAGAACTAAAACACAAAAACTCAGTGCTTATCTTTGTTACGTTGTCTTGGGCCGTGTCCAGTTTTATGACATTGATTTGTACCCTTTATGAGTGATATAAATATATTATATAAATATATATAAATCTTACCTACCAGCATTTTTACACAAGAAAATAAAAAAAACCTATTGTTTTGGCAATAAGCTTTTTTTTTTAATGTGAAATTTTATGTTCTGCAAAGCAGATCCAGAATTTTTTCTCTGCTTTTTATTACTTTTTTTTCCCTTTCTTATACAAGAAATAGTATTTGTTTAGTTCCTTTGAGAAGGTGTATCACCCTAGCCTACAGCCCAGCCTAGTCATTTCCCCTATTAAACTAAACCTGAGCTGTAATAGAAGATGCTGTATACCTATCTTTTCTGCGGTGAGTCTTGAAACCCACCCGCCTTGCTCTTTTCTGGCCACTGCAGATATGACACCTCCAGGTCTGTGGTTTTCCACCACTTCCACTGGCTTGTAAAGTATGGGGCAGGGTTGGGGATAAACTATTTAACCCCTTGGCGCTTTAAGGGTTTCAGAACCCGAGAGATGGGTTTAGGGTCATGTGACCGCTGTGACACGCTGTCATGGCGGTCACATTATTGGGAAAGGTCCCAATCGAAACAGGAGATCGGGACCTTTCCGTGAGTACCGAACATGTGCGCTGGGAGCACACCGGGTGCGCGCTCTCAGCATGTTTTTTTTTAATAGAATGCAAATGTGGAGCCGCTTGGCGTCTAGGCCCAGACGCTGGGAGGCTGCACATTTGCGTTCAGCCGGCGCCAAGAGGTTAACAAACCTAGGTGTCGGATACTTTGCTGGGATCAACAGGCAAGTATAGAGCACCATGTTTTTACAGCCTATGATTAGTTTAATGAGGCCTTGTAGGGACAGGGTCACTTTAGTGGACACTTGCACATGAGAAATATTGAGTTGCTATTGCTGACCCCCCTTCTTAAAATGTTAGTTGCTTGGCTGTCTCTGAGTTAAGTGCTTTGAGCCATTGATGTGTAATTTGTCATGCTGCACCAAATGTCAGAACTCCTTGATCTGCATACTTGTTCCAGATCAATGACTCAAAGCCCTGAAGATAGAGAAGCAACCAGCTTTTTCAGAGCAAGAGGTTTGTCATAGTCTTCATATTTCTTTAGAAGTGGTTTTGCTTTAACATGAACCTGTTAACCTTTTTGAACATTTGTAGTTAAAAGATCCTCCTGCTGTGCACCGTTCTGATCTAGTCTCACTTTGTTACAGATGCTTTTCCTGACTGTAGGGCAAAATCTGACCTGCATGAACACGCATGTTCTGATTTATTTTAGAGCCCTTCGCATCCCCTCAAAAATTTTATATATATATATATATATATATATTATAATCTCACACCCACACCTTTAGAATAGACACCTCCTTTATGAAGGTGTTGCGCCTCCTTGGAAGACAATTACCCATTATCCCACAGGAATGCACTCCTGCACTTTAATGGAGCTCATTCTCTTGAAATGTCAGGTCATTGGCACCTTCAAGAAGTGGCAAAAAGCTGGGGGGGGGGGGGGCCTGTGGTTGGTAATATTTTTTTTTTTTTTTTTTTTGCAAACGGTCATGTAAGGTCCACTTTAAGAGTACCCACAATGGCCACTGAAGGGCTGGCTGTCCATGGACAAGGGAAATGGCAGGGGGCAGGCTTTAGCTCTGAAGTCAGGACCAATATAGCAAAGTAAGTCTAATTCAGATTAGGCAATTTAGGGGTATAAGCAGACACATTGTGCTACCTGTTCTTAGGGAGGACCTTTTAGTTTTTAAATGTTTAAGATGGTTAATGGTCACCTTCACTGTATTTATGATTGTGTAATCCTCTTCCAGGTAAGGCCTTGTTCACATGAGCACTGAATGCAGAACTGCTTCCAAGTTCCTGCCTGATCACAGGTTATGTGCTGCTGAGTTTTTTAAATGGGAGAACTCCCAGTCAAAGGGCCTGCAGCATCTGATATCAGCTAGACAATGCAGGCAGCATTTGGGATGACCTAAAATGAAACTTAGCAGAGTGCTGGTGTTTCCTTAGTCGTCTAGTTTAATAAGTTTGGAGCGCTCAATGGTTGCATTCAGGCCTCCTTTTTTAAACAAGGCCTACGTAGCGAAGAGGTCATCAGAAGTTGGCCAGCCATGCTTTTTGAAGGTGGTGGTTCTCATAAAAAGTTGTGCATCACGTTTGACAATCTTTTTATAATGAATTAGTCTGTTTACAGTTTATATCATCATAGCTTGTTTAAACGTTTTTATACTTTAAATGCTTATACCTGCCTAAACTGGTATTCTAGCATTTGGTAGAGACCAGCGCATTGACTCCCCCACCACTTTTCAGAACCTTTCAGGGACTTTAGCAGCAAGGTGTCCCATGCAGATCTCTTGGCTCTTTTCCTATCTGCCTTGGCATCTCCATTCTCCATCCACATTTTCTGCATATAAATATGAACGAAAACTAAAATGAGGGAGTAAAACACTATCTAATCGTTTCTGCGTGTGGGGGTTGGATCCTAGGTGCAGAAACCTCACCACTAGGGTGAATGAAAACAAATAGGCCAAATGATGCAATTTACTAAATGCTCCATTGGCGGACTAAAAATGCATCACCCAAAGTTAATTTTGATTGGAGGTGATTAGATGATGTGCTTAATGATGTCTCTACTTCTGGAGCATCCTACTTTTTAGTGCCTCCAAAAGCTTGAGCCCATTGACTTTACTTGGATATCTTCTAATACCAATAGGCAAAAGAAACTGGAGCAGCAGAGGAGCTGATAGTGGCAGGGCTCTATATGCAGTCGTTTATGGTCATCTATTTAATGGATGAATCACTCTTCAGTGTCTTGTGCCCTTCAGGGTGATGAGATCCTGCCCCAAAATTCCCAGATTTCCTCAACTGCCCTAAATCGCCAATTTGGAAGAGTCAGCATCCATTGGACTAATGCCTTCATTCCACCTGATGAATCTAAACCCTTGTATTGGCCAGCTTTAGCCTATATTTGTGTTCTGGATCAAAGCATTGCCAGGAAGCACCTTCTGATTGCATTATCAAAGGGAATACAATCTAGCATGTCCATTATTTCTATTGCACTATGTATGTCTTCTTCTATCTTGTATATGTATTTAATTTGTGAAATTCCAGTCGCATTTATTTGGTAATTTTTACAGTAAAATTTGGTCACAAAGCTGGAGTGAAAGATTAAATGTATTACCTGGATTTAAAGAAAGATGCAATTTCTTTGACTAGTCAAAGCTTGGTCATCATTGCCTTTACATGAAGGCATATTATTTGCCTGATGTATTTGTCCAGATAGACATATATTGGAAAAAATGTGTTTAATGTATAAGCTGTAAACGTGACAATGCAAACATTTAGTAAATAACTATGACATAAATACACCTGTCTGAAGATTCAAAACAAAGTTTTCACTCATTTTCTATTTCATGTGCTTGCCCCCTGATGGTACACTGACATCAATGTCACAGGGAATCCCAACTGTCCATCTGGTTTCCTTAATGGATTCACTCACAATGACCTCATTCAATGATTTCTTGCATGTGTTGAGTTGGAAAGTGATTGTAAACCCTCACCTTGTAAAACTTGCCTTTCATTTAAAATAGACCTGTATAGATATAAAAAAAAAATTATAAATACATAAATAATTTTTTTGTGATCACATACCCTCTGTTTTCACCTGCATAAGAGCTGGGGGAGGAAAAACAGCAGTACACTGGTCTTCCCAATGAATGGCTGTGCATGGGCCAGGGGGGGTCCGGAAAAGTCTGATCATAGGAAAGCAGGCGGAGTTCCCAGCATAGCTAGAGAACTGTGACCACATTGTGTTCTGCTTAGTTTTTTTTATAGGAAAGCAGAGGGACTGTCAGGATTGCGTACAAAACATAGCTAGAGAACTGTGACTACATTGTGTTCTGCTTAGTTTTTCATAGGAAAGCAGAGGAACTGTCAGGATTTTGCACAAAGGAAGCAATAGAAAGAACAGGATACCTCTTCATATTAGTACATGGTACAGTAGGCACATATCAGAAATTTTTGGTGTACATATTCTTTAAGAGGAATGTCCTGTAAATCAAGAGAAGCTTCGGCTGGGCTGCATACTGCATACATGGTAGTGAAGTCAGTGCCATTGAACCTTGAATATATTTCATTAGAAAGGTCTGGAACTAGTACATAGTCCAGGAGCCAAAGAATAGAAGGTACCATGTGAGACATAAAGGAATATGCTAGCATTAGGTGGTGGAGTAGGAGAAAAGCTGGCCATACATTATACAATTTTCTTATTCAATTTCCTTTTAGATTTACCTTCAACTATGTAGGGCCCTGCCTGATTGCATACAAATTGAAAGTGTTTAGGTTTGATCTTATATGATCTAAGGGAAGATTGTCTAATGTATGGCCAGTCAAAGTGATAAATTAACCGCACTTTATACAGAGCTATAGCTTGAATGATGATCATCTTCAAAGTGCCAGTTCCCAGAACCTGCCCACTTCCAGCCAGAAGGTATATGTTCCCCTATGGGAAATAAACATGATCAGACATCCTTTAATGCAGGGCAGACATAGCAGGCAGTAGATACCAGAGTTTTGACAAATGAATACATTATTGAAGCTTGTGTGCTATTGTAAACTGCAGTACAGTATTTGAGCCAAAGTATTGGTTCATTGAGACTACCCCAAAATGTCAGCTTCCATGCAAATCATCTTGTGCATCTGCTGAAGACTAACTTGGGTCAATAAATGACAATACAAATATGCCCAGCAGAAGTGTATAGGTGTTCTATTCTGTGTTGCAATATTGCCCCCCTAACTTTTTCATACATGTCTCTGTTGTGAATATAAGAAGCCAGAGAGAACGTCCTCTAGCTACCAGACTAATGACTA